AATTAGTGGCAAGTGAAGAATATTAAATGTGATTTTCTATGATATAGCACAGCTGACATTGGTATACAGAATCTTGTGGTTTTTTTTTTTTTTTTTGAGATGGAGTCTTGCTCTGTCACCCAGGCTGGAGTGCAGTGGCGTGATCTCGGCTCACTGCAGGTGCTGCCTCCCGGATTCATGCCATTCTCCTGCCTCAGTCTCCCGAGTAGCTGGGACTACAGGTGCCCGCCACCACGCCAGCTAAGTTTTTGTATTTTTTGGTAGAGATGGGGTTTCACAGTGTTCACCAGGATGGTCTTGATCTCCTGACCTCGTGATCCTCCCATCTCAGCCTCCCAAAGTGCTGGGATTACAGGCGTGAGCCACTGCGCCCGGCCTGAATCTTCTGTTTTTAAGTGTGAATGTTAAGTGTTGCAAAATAAAATGATTTCCTGTGCATTTGAAATTTGGAATAATATTTCTTTTACATATTGATGTAACAATTTGGAGAAATTTTTCTCATTTTATTTAATTTTTTTAGTCGGTGAAGTTAAGTCTACAGTTGTTATTATTGGTCACTTAACTACCCAATCCTTGGTGATTGGTAAGAGACTGATATGGTAATTTCAATCTATTTCATTTTAGTCCCTGAGAAAACTCAATATTCCCTAATTATTTGATAGGAAAAATATTCTTATTTTAGTGTTTCTAAAACTTTAAAAAACTGTAGACCACTGAATGTATGATGATGTACATATAGACCACAATTTTTTTTATATATAATTTTAGGCTTATCCTAGCTTTTAATATAAAAACTCACTACATTTCAAAAGTAAAATTAGTGACTGTTTTAAGTCATAAGAGGGATATTAGAATCCGTTTAACAAAGTATTTGTGTTTGGCTTAGTAATGACTACTTTAAACCAAAAATCAAGTTCTACACACTGTGATTAAAATAATTGTTTTCTAGATTTTTATTTCTACAAAATTAGAAAATTCAAAGCAAAATGTTAGGTCAGATATAAAAAGAATTGGCTATGAGGGTGTTGGGCATAAATGGTTAAGATTGAAACTCAGTATCAGGTGGTTTCTGATTGCATCCGAGTTCTGCCACGTATAGGCTGTATGACCTGAGTACAGCTGTACAGTGAGGATGACAGTGCATAAATTCTAGGGTTTTTGTCAGATTAAAGCAATTAATGCAAATAAAGGTACCAGAAGAGTGCCCAACAAACAGTGAGTGTAAAGAAAATTTATTAGCTTTTATTTGTTAATTCTGTTACATTATAATCTATATTCACTTACAGCATAGATATAAATATCAATGAAAAGATTTCTTATTGAGTGCTGCTCTTTAATACTCCAGTAACACTAGATAAGTAAGCACTTAAACATCATGTGCTTGTCAGTTTTAAAATTAAATAAGGCAAATTGGTTCCTTATAATAATTTTCTTATTGTTGAGTAATTATGCTTATTGGATAAATTTAAATATAGTGTAAAATATATATTCAAATATATTTTTTAAGAAAAAATCAGAATTTTACTCTAAACAGTTGTTTTAACATCTGTCTTTTAAAGTATTATTTTGAATAGGAAATATCAACATATTTCTGAATGTTGAGTTCAGAATGCTTATAATATTAAACATTTACTTACCTACGTTACTAATTGAGGAAGCCATTTGAGATACAAAAAATATATGTATATGTTTTCTGAAATTTTTGTTTTGTTTTGCTTTGAGATGGAGTTTTGCTCTTGTTGCCCAGGCTAGAATGCAATGGCATCGGCTTACTGCAACCTCTGCTTTCCGGGTTCAAGTGATTCTCCTGCCTCAGCCTCCCGAGTAGCTGGGATTACAGGCATGCGCCACCACACCCAGCTAATTTTGTATTTTAGTAGAGACTGGGTTTCTCCATGTTGGTCAGGCTGTCTTGAACTCCCGACCTCAGGTGATCCATCCGCCTCGGCCTCTGAAATTGCTGGAATTACAGGTGTGAGCCACCGCACCAGATGTTTTCTGAAATATTGAGATTGAAAAAACACTTTTTTTCTCTGGCCCGATTTCTTAAGGTTTATTTCTCTCTCTTTAAGAAAAAAGTTAATACTATTTTTGATTGACAAATCATAGTTGTATACATTTATGGGGTGCAATGTTATGTTTTAATATATGCATATAATATAGAACAATTAAGTTAAATAACATTAACTTTCTTACCTATCATTTTTTTGTGGGGAGACATTTGAAATTCGCTCAGTTGTTTTGAAATATACAATACTTTTTTTTTTTTTTTTTTTTTTAGACAGAGTCTCACTCTGTTGCCCAGGCTGGAGTGCAATGGCCCAATCTTGGCTCATTGTAACCTCCACCTCCCGGGTTCATGCAATTCTCCTGCCTCAGCCTCCTGAGTAGCTGGGACTACAGGGGCACACCACCATGCCCGGCTAATTTTTGTATTTTTAGTAGAGATGGGGTTTCACCGTATTGGCCAGGCTGGTCTCAAACTCCTGACCTTGTGATCCACCCATCTTGGCTTCCCAAATTGTTGGGCTTACAGGCGTGAGCCACCACACCTGGCTAATACATTATTGTTTACTGTGGTCATCCTGGTGTGCAACAGATCTCAAAACCTCCTTACCCTATTTAAAACTTTGTACCCTTAGAGGAAAAACTATCTGTTCTCTTCTTATCACCCCTAGCGTCTGGTAACTGTTGTTTCACTTTCTGCTTTTTTGAGTTGAACTTTATTATATTCTACATAAAAATAAGATCATTCAGTATTTGTCTTCCTGTGTCTGGCTTATTTTATCTAGCATACATAATGTCTTCTAAATGTATCTATCTGGTTTCAAATAATGGGACGTACCCCTTTTTAAAGCTAAATAGTGTTTTGTTTTGTACCTATACCACATTCTTAGAAGAATTAATTTAAATATATATTCAAAAAACTTGTTATGAAAAGATATTTCTTTTTTCAAATATGTATTAATGTCACTTAGCATATAAATATCCTATTAAAAGTAGCTAATTTATACTAGCACTAACCATAACACCATATA